GGCATTCCGACAGGTATCCTTTCTTCAGGACGATAGTGCATCAATTATCGTTAAAATGCGTGATCGCAATCAAAACGATTTGACCCTCAAAGGAAAAAAAAAAAAATGCTGCGCGAGTATTAATCGTGTTCTACCGATGCTAAATAACAAGACTAACATGACAAATATAATGACATGTAGTAATTCATCTCTCTCTCTGCTGTTAGAAAATCGGAGTCGAACAATTTTCACAGGCACATTTTCAATTTTGCTTCTTTATTTATATTGCAACTAATGTTCGCGTTATATATATACAGTATTGTCCGAAACAGGCCTTGCTACAGGTTAGGATTTTTCACAACAAGTCATGCCTATATGTATTTACATAATTTTTGAATCAATAGATTATCTCCCTTAATTGCACTTTCTGCACTTTGTGTCTTCTTCAAGGTTTTGAAAAATATATATTTTATTCGAAAAACCATTTTTTTGTGCATTTTTAGAATTTTTAATTGAACATTAATACCAATTAATCTCTTATTTTATATTTTTTAGATTAAATGTTTAAAAAATCAGAAGATATTTAAATATATGTATATCACTCCATGTATCTTATATCAATGGCGCCGTGTTTAATTGAGATATTGCTATTGCTGTTCACAATTAAAATTTATATTTCGAACTTAAAATGTATAAAAAAAATTAATAAGTTTTCCTTTTTTTCATAACTACATCAGCTAATTTCCCAGAATCTGTGGTCAACGCTTTGCCGAAAGATTTAGATACTGGCGTTTATTATGGCTGGGCTTCCTTGCGTGGACAAGTTTATAAAATGGTCACCAGCATAGGCTGGAATCCATATTACAAGAATGAGAAGAAGTCAATGGTACGAGAAATAATATTTAAAAAAATTGGAATTCTCATTGATTAAAATTCCAAAATTATATGTTTAATTACGAAATTATATTATTTAATTCTTACTGTTATCATAATTTAAAAATATATTTTGTTTGCAGGAAGTTCATCTGCTACATAAATTCCACAATGACTTTTATGGCGAAGAGATCAAAGTGATAATTACTGGATATCTACGACCAGAAAAAGATTTCTCTTCTCTAGGTAAAATATAGTAGTGATATAAAATATGTAAATAAATTACCATTCTTGCATAATTTATGATAATTACTGCATGTGTGTGATTTTATTTTATTTATTCTTTCAGAGGAACTTATCAAAGAGATAAAGAATGATATTGCGATAGCAGAACAGAAATTAGAAGAGCCTGTTGTAAATAAACTGAAAAATCATAATTTTTTAATAACTAATAAAACAAATGATTAATGACTATGAAAAATGTCACTCTTCATCTGATAAATAAATTTAATTATTATTTTTCTTTCCATGTTTATCACAGAATATCTATATATAAATTTGTCTTTTATTTACAATCATTTAGAAATTGATCTAAGCTTATGCGAATGTACAAAAAATATAAAGACAATACTACTTAAATTAAATTAAAATAGAATCTCAATCAACGATCGTCGAATCTTTCGAAGGAGGTGGAGGAGGTGGTAAAGATGGCCAAGGTGCATTCGTATGCGGTCGCACAGAAATCGGATAAGACATATCTATGTATGAAAATGATGCGTTGGGAAGTTGAGGATAGTTCATCGGTAAGGAAGGAGGGAACATAGGATTAAATCTCGGAGGAGCACCGAACGGAATTCTAGAATATCGGGGTTGCATGTTATTGCATTGAGAATTCGGTGTAGCACCTTGAAAATATTGTTTCCCATCACCAGAGTTATTCGAATTGTAATTGCCATATTGCGGCAAACCTGACTCATTAAACGGTGGCCTGTACTCCGCGTTTGGTCTGTTGAACATAGGATGCATATTTCTTGGAACAGGCGGCCAATGCATGTTATTTTGATATTGATATTGCATCCAAGAATCGTTATAGGAATATGGTCCATACTGTGATAGATTAAAATGACTGTTATTTCTCAATGGCTGTTGCCCCTTAGCCTGGTTTTTCTGAAATTTGGCATTTCTGTTCCATGGATGATTTGATTGCCATTCAGCTGTTGGCTTATCTTGAGTAAAACCTGAAGAACGATTTATAGTAATTATTCAGTCATTTAATTGTATCAACCAGCTTGAGAAATACTCACTCGATATACGTTGTCGTTTCCGTGATGTGCTGCCATCGGAACTGTCTTTGTTATTTTTCTGCTTCAGCATCTCGTAGTAAGCTCGCTCTTCCTCGTCATCCGAAAATGCGGGCTCGTCATCGACCACCGCGTCATAACTTTTCATTCTGCAGGAGATTGTTCATTGAGTATGTCATAATCATGCATAACGTGTATCATATTTATTAGAATACTGACTTGTGTAATTCGTGTAGAAAGATGAGTGACGTGTATTGTGTATTTGGACAATAATAAACTGACATGCCCACTTTAATATTGCTTTCCTGTATGTGTTCAGGGCTATTGAAGCGAATGCAGTAGTTTGGTTCGCTTACAGGGCCAAACACATCTAATATTTTGCCGAGTGCTCTTTCTCCTTTCTCTACAAATAAAACTGTATCGATGTGGAGCGTAGGCTTACCGGAAATCGGTTTTACAATTACCAATTGTTCAACTACCTTGTCAACCTGGATTGTTCAGTGACATAAAAATATAAATTTTAAACGTGTAGAAATTATCATTGCTTTTACGATATTAACTTATTTTACAAGTTTCTACATTTGTGTATGTTTAGTTTTATAAAATTATGTTTGTATGTATATTGATTACCTCGCCCAGAAGATCACACAAGACTTCAGGAACACTGATCTTTAAATCTTCTATTGGTGGAAGATCATTAAATTCGTTTTCTATTTGTTTTTTCTTCTTTAGTATGCTAGTTTTATTTCCTTTCTTATTTCTGAAAATATATATCATGTGTTTATCATTTCTATTTATTAAAAAAAAATATATATATTATATGTATATGTCATAATTTTATTCTTATAGAAATGTAATAGTACTTGTTATTATTGGTACTAGTAATATCATCTGAATCACTGTCACTGTTGCTACTGTCGTTATTAGTACTACTGCTACTACTGCTACTACTGCTACTACTGCTATGGTAACTGCTACTAGAGTCGTCTTCGCTGTCAGTTTCTTCACAAGAAGATAATACATTTTCTTCAATTGTACGGTACTGCTGCAAGGACTGTTTCTTTTCGATTTCTTTTTTTTCATTTTCTTTGTTGGCAATTGGTATAGTGTTTTGATTTTCAGTTTTGTTAGTATCTGCTTCTATCTCCTCCACATCCGAATTAGAATTATATTCCAAAGCAATTTCTTCAATTGTACGGTACTGCTGCAAGGTCTGTTTCTTTTCGATTTCTTTCTTTTCATTTTCTTTGTTGGCAATTGGCGTACTGTTTTGATTTTCAGTTTTGTTAGTATCTGCTTGTATCTTCTCCATATCCGAATTAGAATTATATTCCCAATCAATTTCTTCAATAGTATGGTACTGTTGCAAGGTCTGTTTCTTTTCATTTTCTTTGTTGGCAATTGGCGTACTGTTTTGATTTTCAGTTTTGTTAGTATCTGCTTCTATCTCCTCCACATCCGAATTAGAATTATATTCCAAAGCAATAACGCTAAGAGAAGATATTTTACCATTTTCTGTCAAACAAATGCAAAATATAATTTTATTGCAATCTTTCAAATTAGATCAAAACTTGTTAAGACTGCTTATGATACACGTTTCTAGATACGGTTTCTAGTATCGATTAACACAATATACGATATATTTTATCAAAGAATCATATTAATTATGGTTAATTATCACAATAGTTCTTTCCGACTTATTTACAGAATAATACTGATTAACGTGGAATAAATTGAAATTTTGAACAGCAAATCATTACCGTATTTCGCATCAGGAATTGTTATCAAAGGCTCTGATAACGGCTCCAAAATATTCGACATTTCGACTGGAGTTTTTTCTTCAGAACATTGACTATCGTTGAAATCCATCTCGCAATCTTCTTTAAAGATTTGACCAACACACAACACCTACTACTACCTATTATCACATATCGGCATGTTTTATATGCCATGTGCCATGTGGATTTCAATATGGGTGCGTTCAGGAGACAACCGTTGAGTAGCAATCGAACATGATTGGTTCTTACTTCTAGAGCCAACAAATCAACGTCGAGTGTTGACAAGACGATGCTCAACAGTTGTGTCTCCTGAACGCGCCCAATCAAAACTAATCTAAAAGTGCTTTTACATGGTAGCGTCGAACGTTAAGCGTCTGCGCAAAATATTATTGCCCAAAATTCTATTTATTTTATTTATTTTACTATACAATTATTATTAATCAAAATATGTTATAGAACGGGCAGTATAAATTAGAATAAACTACTGACAGTATAAATTAGAATAATTTAAAAAAAAACGCAGCAAAAGATTCTGGATGGCTGAAGTATTCGAACAGAATACACAGAAGTATAAACTCTATTTTGAAAAAGTGAAAAGTAATTTTAGCCATTTAACGCGTCAGCGGATTTCAGCTTTATCGCCATATGTGCTCGGATCAGCGATTAGCTCCGATTCGGATAGGAGTAAATTAAAATTGATTATGATAAAAGATGCTTTCGGAAATTCTACTCTAAGATAAAGTAATATTTAATTAATTACTACTCTATGGGTAAGATTTCCAAATGCAGCTAAGAAATAGGGAGTAATATTATATTTGTTCGCGGGTTATTCCGCATAAAATAAACTGCAATAATAAGTAGACGCTTGAAGAAAAGATGAGAGAAAGTAGATAATTAATTTAGAGGTACTTCAGAATTTTTTTTAAGGAACTATATTTTGATATTTTAAAGAAGTAAAAATTTTTGTTAACATATGATATTTTCTTTATTGCAATTATGTACTTACGAACTTGGCAGTTGAATGTAAATTGGTTTATTGCAAATCACCAAAGTTAAAAACATTAGCTTCTTCAAAAGCTATTTGTCGATATATCGCCTTAATAAAAAATAAAATGTTCTATATATATTAGTCAGCATGACACAGCTTCTGCATAGATAATATCAAAATTTTTTTCATAACATATATATAACACAATATTTATTTTTTCTTAAGGCCTCATGTACTCTGCTATATAACATTTGTAGTGATAACTATATTTTTTTGTTCGGCTATTCTTTTGTTACTATATTTACAATTGTATGTATAATTGATTTGCCTTGTTGATGGTTTAAAAGATTCAATAGAGGATCTTGCATCTTTTGTTCTAGTAATTTTGCCAATTCTATTCTCATTCTTTGCAAAAGTAGCCCCACCTGAAAATATATTATAACAAAGTAATGCATATTAAAAATGAACACTTTATTTTCTCACCACAATTATTGTAATCTTACGTTGTGTGATTCTATCGCGAACATAATCCAACCATCGTCGAGAGAAAGCATATATCTTCCATTATGCATTTCCGTGCGTAATTCATAACTAGAGAATAATATTAAAGATAAAATTGGGATCATGGACACTTCGTTAATGAAAACTTTGCTAGTTTTGATCTTCTCCTGGAATACTAAGTACGGACTTGTGAAATGTCCAATGTGAAAATTCACAGACGATGGATGAATGTTGACAAAATCGTCGTGTCTCGTTCTGAACTTCAACTCGTTTGCTTTGGGTGACATTGGTATCATGCCAGTAGATTGCGCTTGGAATGACTTTCCAGGTGTAAAAACTTTTACGATGTTAGGATATAATGCCGCGCAGAGAAGACCTTGCAATAGCTTGCAATTGTCATTGTTGACATTTAATTCGACTCCAGTGATCTCTAAGATATTGTCAATCTTGGGTCGTCTCTTGGGTAAATCGATAGGCGCGAAACCGATCGATACTAACAACTCCAAAAATTGAAACTTTATATCCGCTAAAGTATGCAATGTATTTACGGATAAATAGTTTTTAAAGGCGAATACTCGGCCAGCATAAGCACTGCGCGAACACGCGGCTAACCATTTCTGCAAAAGAACAAAAGTTATGCAAATAATGTGTCTTTTAAGCAGAATTATATTAGATTAATTAGAAATAATTTTGTCTAATGTCTACCTTATAAGCGTTGAGGACGGTTAATTGATCCGACTCAGCCGTGTAAAATGTCTTCTTGGGCTGAACCTTATTTATCATATCCATTGGTACGTTAAATGGACTCTTGTGCGACAAACACGCGGCGATAGTAAGCGCGGAATCCAAGCAGCAAAAAATCGCGCCATACAGTATCAATTTACCGATTCGTACATTTACAGGTAGTTTGGCTAAATGATGACCAAGCGGTGTTAATACACGTTCCGAGTTAAAGGCGCCGACATCCTGCAAACGTATTATCGCGCTCGTAATATTGTCGATCGTCGGTGGTTCTATCACTTTCCCTATTGGCAAAAATTTAAGAAGATTATTACTTCTGTGATAAACAACGGCGAATATATAGATACAGAGTAAATAAAAACACGGAGAGAGATTTTCTTACCCAATATCTCATATAGATCCACTTTTTTTCCTTTGTGCATAAGCTGAATATGTAGAAGTAGTGGTTCCAGAGGAACTCTTAGTATTTCTGGTATCGGTTGTGCAGTAAAATGATATTTAAATCTACAAAAATAAATATACGCACGTTATTATGCGTGTATAATGCATTTATATCAGGTTCAAGAAGACAAGAATGCTAAAATACACACCTATGCGAGGTATACAAATGGATGCACACTCCAGGCATTACTCGACCAGAACGACCCATTCTTTGCACAGCGTTCGCTCGCGATATCCAGCAGGTCTCTAAACTTTCCATATTCTGATTCGAATTGAATCTCATTTCCTTGATCTTTCCCGAATCAATTACGAATACGCAATCGTCTATAGTTATAGACGTCTCAGCCAGATTCGTGCTAAGTACGATTTTACGGACATCTTTTCCGGTTTTCTTAAATACAAGATTTTGCTCCTCATTAGAAAGACTCGAATGTAGAGGTACGATAAGAAATCCTTTATTGTTTGGCGAGAAATTATTATTATTATGTAATCGATCTTTCAATGCAAGAATATCATTCATACCTGGTAGGAATACCTAAAAATATTGTACAAAAAAATATAATATTATTACTATGCATCAGAAATAAGCAGACATGAATTGCAAATAAAAATGCTTACTAAGATAGAACCCGTTTTGGGATAGTCATGTTCTCCGAAAACAATCCATTCTAAAGTCTTTTCTATTAACTCAAAATTAATCCTTTCCTGATTCATAATGTATAAATTTTTATATGTCTGCTTGGAATAGCCACGATATCTACTGACGAGTTGCATCAATGTCAAATTTTCGTCCTTAATAGATTCTTTGGGTGTATTAGCGTATTCGCCGATTTTCGAATCAGCCATTTCCAGATCAGTTTGAAACTGATCCCAATCACACTTGAGCTTACGAGTGAACTGAGTATTTTCTTCGAGAACATATCCTGTTCTTTCGAGCGCGTCTTCGAGAAAGATCTGCTCGACTGAAAAAGTCTTTCCCGGGATATTTAGAATTGGTGCTTTTCCAAAGTATGAAGAGAATGTGTCGGCTTTAAGTGTTGCGCTCATCAGTATTATTTTCAAAGACGGCCTTTTCGGTAATAATTCCTTTAAAAGCATCAGTAAGAAATCGCTGGAGAAAAGAATAATATGTAAGTAAAAATCACAAAGAGAGAGTAAGAAAGAGAGAAATATAAAGCATTTTACCTATCGGCGCTTCTCTCATGCACTTCGTCGACTATAACGTGAGTCACATCCGATAACTCGAGATTCCCCGATAACTTCTGCAATAGTATTCCCATGGTGCAAAATGTTAGTCGTGTTTTACTAGACATTTTACTCTCCAAACGTATCTGATATCCAATGGTATTTCCTATAGATTCATCTCTCTCAGCTGCTACTCGTTCTGCAACCCCTATGGCACTTATTCTTCGTGGTTGAGTGCATATTATATTAATGTGAGGTTTATCCTTCGACTGCGATCTATTAATAATCCACTCATCTATAATAAACTGCGGTACCTGTAACATTTTAATTGAAATTTTTGGTTTCGTTTTTTTATTTTAATATGTACATATTTAATGAGAGAACACTGTAATGTACCTGAGTGCTTTTGCCACATCCAGTTTCCCCAGAGATGATAACAACTTGATTTTCGTGTATAGTTTCCAAAATTTCATTTGTCTTGGACCATGCCGGCAATTTTTTTCGTGCCTCCTGCATTCTCATATAATTGGGATTTTTTTGTTTATCCATAAATTTTTTTTCTATCAAATCATCTTCCCCACTAATCTGTTCCCAAGAGATATTATCTCTGTTTTTTTTACTGGTGCTACCAAGTTTGTAATGACTAGGGAGTTCTTCTTCCTTTTCTTGTTCCTTTGGGCACAATGTCTCATACTGATGCAAAAATTGTTCCTTATCTTTTTCCAAATAAGTTTTCATATCATATTCATCTTCTAATAGTGAAATTATAGAAAATATCGACGGGATACCGTCAAGAGATAAAAGTAAGGCTTCATTGTACAATCTTCTTGCTATTCTGAGGCATTTCATACGTGGAAATATTTCGTTGTTCTTATAAAAGTAAAAATATGGTGGTTCATATGGATATTTAGATCCTATAATTGGAATAAAAAAATTGTAATTCTCTATAATTTTATTAATCGATGTCATACGTTACTCCTCAATTAATTCTCCAACATTATGATTAACTACATAATTAATATGTAATTCAATTAATATATTTAATTGTGTGTAGTACCTTCGGGGAATCTTATCTCTAGCGTGAAATAAGGATCTTCTACAATTGGCACATTGGATACTTTCTGTGGTAATTGGTGTAGAAATCTGCATTTGTCTTTAAATGTGCATTTATTATGAATGAAAAATTGACATACTTTTTTATCTTGCTTTTTTACTTCTTGTGTAATTTTTTTATTATTTGTTAAATAATCTAACTTTAATTGTACTATCCAAATGCTATTTTTTATTTTTTCACTAAACGCATCGCCATAAATCGATTCGAGTGCCTCCTTTTCTTCCCGTTGTCTTTCCAATAATTCAGCAGCATCCGGGATTTCAGAGTTTTTATTTTTTTGAATATTTTCAATTCCATAGTATTTGCGAAATAACAGTTCTAAAGATTTTCCCAAATTGTTTTTCGTATACGTTAAAGCTTGTATACAGTGTGAAAGATGGAAACTATAAATAAGAAATATATCCTTTATATTATACAAAGAGATGGACAATAATATTATTATATTATTTTATTGTTATATATTATTATTATTTTTGAAACACACAGTACCCATAGCTTTCTAATTTAGATGTAGCAAATTGCTGTGTTATTTGGTCCTGGGTCTTCGGTGTGGTATCTTTAGAAGAATAATCTACTATTCCTTTGACAACTAAATTACCTCGTTCCATCCAGTACTGTTTGTCTAAATTTGATGTTTTTTCTTCAAGCTCCGCAGTGTCAATAAGTTTAAAATCCTGCAAAGAATTAAGGAATTATATCTATTAAGGAATAACAAAACAGCATTTGTTTAATAAATAGAAATACATATTTACATTTCCGTAAATATGTAGAAGACTGTCGTAGAGCTGTTGCTCAGATTCTTCGGATATTTGCAGTGTTTGCATTTCCACCTTGAGCTTCCTAGGTACTGAGGAGCTTGTAGACATGACATCTTTCTCCTTATAGCTTTTTGCAGACACATTTCTGTCATGTGTACGTGACAGAATGTAATTGTATCATTTAAACATATTGAAACAAATTTAATACTTTTATGATAATTAATATTTCTTTGATAAAAATACAGGAAGAATATTTATATATTTATTTATTTTACTTACGTATTCGGTTTGGACGTGCTTTGTGCTTCTAATACATCATCTTTCATTAATTGCTGACTACGATAATCCATATTGTCAGATAAATAGTTGTCTATTATATATTTATTTTTTTTCTTTTAGAAGGATGTTTGGGATATACGTAACGTAATACGTGATGTAACGTTGAGTCTATTAATTACTACTAATCAACTTCGCGCAATTAACAACAACTAATGTGAGATAATGACTAAACACTGAACGTGATTACCAAATGTTACCAAACTGTATTGAATACTGAGGCTTGATTGAGGATTGAGGGTTTGAGGTTGAGCCTGCGTTCCAAAAATTCAATCAAGAAGCGCTTCGAAACATTTAGAGCGTCAAACGGAACGCATGTGTCAGCATGTCAGCTGTGATTGAGAGAGAGAGGGAGAGAGAGAGAGAGAGAGAGAGAGAGAAAGAGAGAGAAAGAGAGAGAAAGCGTTCAGATCATTGAGTATTGAATATCGCATGAGTTTTAATTCAGTGTTAATTTTCGAGAAAAGAAATAACTAAAAAAAGCGTTATCCGTATTATCAGTGCACAGGATATCTTTGATAAGAGGTAAGGAGGCTGGAATCAGATCCGATCGAATGTTTTTGCGCTTTTACTTGGTCAACCAAGAGTACACAATGTTACTTTTAAACGATTTTAGGTTATGTTAGAGATACAATTCTTGAAAAAAAAAAAGATATTGATAACTTTTTTATATTATATCTTAAATTATGTTTCGATCCAGTGTATTTATTAGGTATCGATTCGTTTTAACCAGCAGAAATCGATGGCGTCTTCGTGTATGATACTGCGACGTGGTATCGCGACTTCCTGCATTTGTCATGGGAAGCGAAATTTTCGAAAATTCTTACTATACAATAAACGTGGCAGTCGTAACTTCAAAGAGCAACAGGCGAAAAATCCAGATCCTGATATACCAATAGATAGTGAGTTATTGATTTTAATATGTTATTATATTTGGAGCATTAGATTAATTTCATGAATAACCCTTTCTCACGAGAAATTGTTTCATAAATAAATACAAGCACGAATAAGATATTTAACTCCGCATGTAAAATATGTTCTTTATATATAACAAAATAGATTGCAAAAAGACTGAATAATTTGGAAGGAAATTGGTTGCGATATATCTTTGCGATTTTTCAATACTTACATAAATATATAATACAAATTAGGGATATTATATACATAACATGATAAAATCAATACATACTAATTACTATAATAAATATTATAGAGAGAGGTGTAAAAGATACTGGATACAAAGTAGATGGTAAATTTGTTCATGTGCCAGAGATGGTTCCTGAATTAATTGTTCCTTCATTAGAAGGGTTCACTTTAAAACCATATGTGTCATACAGAGTGGAAAACTTTACGGAACCCGAATTTACTGCACAAGATTTGTTCGACGCGGTATATTCTAATAAAATAAAGGAAGACTTTGCAAATAATCAGTTGGCTGAGAATGGAGAGCCATTGAATCCTAGCGATTATGAAAAGCTTACGCAGCAACAAGCTAAGGACAATGCCAGCAAAACAGGTTGTGACATTTTTGACGCAGGAAGAAAATTGTAAAAGTTTTTACTCTTTAGTATCTATGATTCTCTAATATTTAAATGTGTATATTTTTCTCTCTTCTATGTCGAAATAAAAATCTTAAACATGTTCCAGAACTACATTAATATGAATTTCAGTCTGTATATGTTTTATTTATAACTCGCATGTATACATACGTTCACAATTTTGCAATTTTTACAAAAAGTAACTACTTACTATCGTATATGACTGTTAAAAGTGATATTATGTACGCACTTTGCTAAGAGCATGAAGAACAGAATTTGTTATATTGTATACATTATAAGCGACTTATCTCCCAGATCAATTTTTTGTTTTTATGACAACTTTTTTATATGGCAGTCAGTGCTTGATAGCAAATAATTACTTCCATTATAATCCTTAAACATATTACATTGTTCTAAAACAATAGCTTATACATTATAAAACGATAGTATATATCACATATATAATTGTCGCAAAAACTTCCGCGAGAGTCGTGTAATTGAATTTGCGCAATGTTCCAATGGACAAGTGAAATTAATTTTTTGCTATTATAAAACACAACGTTTGCGTTGTACCGGGCTTTCGTCTTATGCAATCGAAAGGACTTGTACAAGTCCAAAAAACAATGACAAGTATGACAATTCAATAATGCCAAAATTGATTTTCAATTCCTGAGATTCATAGATATCTTGCGTCAATGAATCCGTTTGCGGATAATGGATTTGTGATTAGGCTAACTTAACAGTTATGTTTCACTTATTAAATGGCTTTTGAGCGAAGTTTGATTGTTTTCTGTCAGGTAAAAAATGGCGAAAAATTCGAATAGTAAAGTCGTTGTCAGTTGTGCGCGGCCGGTATTGCTTACTACTGACTAGATTATTAGATTCTATTAATATATGTATGTGTATATATTGTTTTTTTTTTTTAAGTGCTGTATTCATATCAAACGTACAAACGGTCTCGTAATCATTATTGTTTCTCTTCAACATCTTCTAATAATTATAATCATGCAAAAAGCTCATAAAACAGAGCTATTGAAATGGAAAATATCCTGTTTAGAAGAAATAATATTTAGACAGTGTACGGGTGAATGTTTATGAAAGACATTTGTATAAAAGTAGTGCAGCTGTTAATGCAATATGGCTATAAATATTTCTAGAAAGAGATAACGTATACAAAATTATTAGTTAACTTATGTTTATGTAGGAAATATATCGATCACATAAATCATTTATTCAAACATCTTTTTCAGAATGCAGCACTTCTATGTGATACACGTTAATTATTACTGTTTACTGCTAATATTATTGTTTTCTGTTATTATTTTCTATCACCTATAGTCACCATTATGAAGAGTGGAAGAGAAAAACGTCTCTAATTTTGTACAGTGGAACGCTTATTGAGAAAACATAACGTTCTGATCTTTTAATCCACGCGTCTTATTTCCACTCTTCGATTAAATCAATGGAAAAGCGAAAGTGGCATAGTACTTGTTTTGCTTTGCTATGAAAAAAGAATTTTAATTCTATCTCATTGTCAGTATGTTGTTGACATTGTCTTGTCTTTTGTGTGTCGTCGATATTTTGTTTTTTTTATACCTTACACTACAACATATTTATAACATCTTGTCGACGACTTGAGCATTCATATATTTCTCTCGCTTATTGGCAGTACAGAATATCCTCTAAGGACTTATATTGCGTAATTGGTATATATTGTTCTCTGTTATTTATTTTGCACACATGAACGATTGCAGAAAAGAATAGGTTCTAAGCTTTGTAAATCTATCCGCAAACTTGTTAATTAAAAAGTAGTTTTTTGTAGTTTTTCTCTCTTTTTTTTTTCTCTTTCTCGCATTATATTCTCAATAGCGGATGTTGTAAGACAAGTCATATGCCACTTGCTCTTCAACTGAACTTGGTGTTTCGCTTTAATTATCAGTCTATGATATAATTGGATATTTGACTGATAAAATCAGTCGTTTCAATAAGGCAGGTACACGTGTTACTGTATGACAAAGATTACTCTGCATGAAAAACTTTTCTTTTTTCTTTTTAATGCCATATATACGTATTCTCCATATATTTATCCATGCAGAGAGACATATAGTACAGTAGCGATAACTTTGTAAAACAGCATTGTAGCAAACAACTTATATATGAAACATTTTATACAATTTTTAGTGCTTTAGCCAAATCTTCTTCGCACCGACGTTTATTCGGACCAATAAAAGCACACAAGTGTAAATCTTTGGCATTCAGTAACATGTACCGTACATCTAATCGGAGATCTTGAGTATGTAAAGAAATACAATTATTACAGACGAGAGACTGAACGTTTTACTAAATTCTTCATATAATATACATCTTAACATTTCTCTCTATCCAATGCAAAATGATATGCAGCTATGTTAATGAAAGTCAACGTGGAAAGACTAGGGAATACTGCTAAAGGAGGAAATACTGCTGAGAGCAATAGTTTATGTAATTCAACCGGCTTTTCATACGCAAGATCTCAAGATAATTACTAACAACGATAGAGCGGAGGCTTATTCCATTGGATCCCCTACATTTTCGAAGATGGTTGAATGTGGATTGCTTGTAGTGGGCCATAAGAAACCACCTACACTGCCCGGTGGTAAGTAAGACGCGCCTCCGCTAAGGCCCACCTAATATATTTTATATATTACATCAGTTATTTAATATTTCTGTGGCATGGTGTACACGCACAATTCAGTTCTTTTTTATATCTTTATATCTATATACACATGAGGACACAAAATGTGCTAAGCAAAATAATATGGAAGCGTTGTGGGATACAGACACACTCTAATTTTATATAATGAGATATTTTATATAGAATATAAGAGTGTGTACAAAAACACGTAATTGCTTAATTACATTGATACGACAAATATGGAAATACAAAAATCTAAATTTTTATTCTAATAATATGTGTAGTACTTGAGGGATATTTATTTGTTGCATGTAAAAATTGAATCAATCGTACGATTATACAATAATAATTTTTGTACAATTAGAAATTTATTAAATATCTTCTTTTGGCTTGCAGTGTGCGTTTACATTTAAATTACTAACTACACATAGTAATTTTATATCAAGGATTGGTTTTCATGCAGTATAAGGCAAACTAGAATAAAAGATAACTGCCAAATTAAAGAAAAATAATCATTTATTTGCATTTAACATAAATAATTGTGCTAATAAATCGCAGGTACTAAATAACATTTTTTATATAGGTACTAAATAACATTATGTACATTGGTTCATTATTGTAAATGTATGCAAAGCATTTACAATAATGTCAAGACACTCTCAATAAAAATCTTATCTTCTACATTGAGTGAACTATGTACAAGGATTTTTCAGTTTTTCATATTACGTATTGATTAATTTTATTTCCGCCAAATAGAGAATGTCGAAATCACAGTCCAATTGCAAAAAATTTCACCAACGGCTATACATGTCGTTTCAATCATTTGCCTCATATATTCTCTCTATCCTTACACTGTAACTTCTTTATGAATTTACCTGTTGGCTCCATATTAGCGACCTCTCCGCCAACTGGCAGTCCGCTGCTAATCGGGACGGTAGACTCTTCCATCTTTCCTCGTCCCGTTTCCTATTTCTATCGAAGTTTCTGTCAACATGTCCTTGAGAGAGAGGCGGCAAGATTTGCGTTCGTTGCGCCAGTTTGTAGCTGTCTTGTCTCGGTACGTGATCGGCGCGTCTGCTGGTGCCGCTTCCGGTTGAAACTGGAATCGGAGTCGGACTACCACCGCCTCTGTGCCGATGATATAAGTTACGCTTTTGCTGCAACATACGCTGCTGCACTAAAAGCTGCAGCTGCGTGCCCGAATCGCCGCGCATCTTAAATTGCTGCTGATTATCGGGTGGTGTGGACGGTGGCCTAAGATGGACTAGATCTAAATGACCTCGAGCTTTTCCTGAATCTGAAAACGATTAGTTATCGCTGTGTTACTGTACAGGTCACCGCAGAGTCCTCGGGAAATTATTAAGAAGCAAACGCGATGCACACCTTGAATACTTCTCTGCTTGGACGGCCTGTCGCCGACACTCTGCTGACAGAACAGTAATCTAGGTCCACCGTCGGATGCTCTTCGTCCCTGAGAGACCCGGGATATTCTACCAGTGATGGGGGATGGACTCTTGGGTGGCGGTGGCGTGCAAGACGGTAGACTGCTCGTAAAACAATTCGTCCCCGTGTAATCTGGCGGGCAGCCAGAATCGAAGCTGGACTCGAAGAGTTCCGACGACGAGCTACCGCTGCCGCCCGCCATAAACAGGGTCGTTCGACTGGGTGGATCAATAGGATCCATAAGCGGGTTATCAAAATGATGTTGATAGTCACTTAATCTTCGATTGACTATCTGGCTGTCAATTCGTTGACTGATATCGTGATCTAGGCCTAATCGGTGTTCTTCGAGTTTGATCTGTGCTTCGCGCAGCTCGTCGCCGCTCGGACCTTCCTCCAAATCGCCCTCCGCGCTACAACAACCTTCATCGGTTGAGGAACTCGTCGAGCTAAATCTTTTACTCCCTCTACCGGTATCTTCTCTTCCTCTGAAACAGGAAAGAGATTCGCCTCGTTGGTTGGATTTGAAAGAAGTGTTTGTTCTGCCATAGCGGTTTCTTCTGATGGCTGTATGAATGGATTGCCATTCTACGCAGCATTCAAAAAATATTCATTAAGAGCATTCTCCTCATCATTTCATCTATGAACATTAATCTGTCACGACACAATATTTTTTCATATTAAATCATAAAAAATGCCATTATAGAAAAGCTACCGTCGACATATCTTATTTCTTGTCCTGTTATATCACATACAAGTTTTATACTATTAATATATGTTCTGTTTGTTTAACTATTGTACAAGTAGATTTAGAATCAAATAAATATGCAGGGAATTTTTTTAGATTATGTCAATCTACGCATTATATAATTAATATGAAAAATATATAAGATTATGGTATAAGTAATGTGCTTCCATTGATAATAAGTAAAGCAAAGCAAATAAAAATTATGAAATCAAAAATTTAAATAAATCAAATAAATTAAGAAATTTAAGGGTAAAGAAAAATATAAGAAAATGAAATGAGGATTTACCAAAAATAAAGCGACAGCAATATGTGCTTCCAATCCAACCTGTCTTGACAAAATCTCCAATATGTGCGTCACCCATCAATAAAGTTCAACGTCCCACTAAGCTATCGCTGTAAATAAAAATTGATTAGATTAAGGGGGGCATATATTATTTTCGTGGTACATTTCCGACTGGTAGGATTGGAAGTTACAAGTCTCTCCAACATGAAAAAATTGGTATATTTAAAATAAAATTATTAAAAGAAAATGTATGTGTGATAATGTGCTTAATGAAAAAATGTCTACCTCGATTTAAATTTATCTTCTTTTGTTCTTGCAACAGTAGACCAGCAGGTATTATTAATGGTACTGCTGACGCGATGTTGCTTCAATCTTTCTAGCAGTAAGAAATAGATAGCAGCATGATGATCATAGCTGCTGTTTCGTAAGGACTGTTAAAAGATGACATTTATATTTATACGATATAATTGAAAATATATATTGAAATAATATGTCTCTATGTATATATTCAAAATTCTCTCTTTGATTTTATTAGACAGTGCTGTGTCGTTTTTCTCCGAAACCGCGCATATGTTTCAAGAATACGATACGATTAATTTAATTAGAAATAAATAGATCAATGTATTCTTATATAATTTCGCATAAGACACAATAGAAGTAGGAGAAATGTTTCCTTACCTCCCTAGTACGACTAATGTCTATTCCTAAGCTATGCATTAATCGAAGTATTTGCTCATTTGGTTCCTGAATAGAAGACGATGGCCGTGTTACGATCACCGAACAAATGCTATCCGCCGTTCCCGCCATCCAACGGTGCCTCTTAATTTGTGGAATGGTATATCGTTTGGAAGGTTCCAACACCAACATCTTGCGTATTAGGCTTTCACAATCTTTAATACAAATTTCGACATGCGTAAGCATAACAGAAATATTAAATGTGCAAAATGTATATTTAAATAAGCACCTGTACTCATAAAGTAAGGAATTCTAAATCTGCCGCTTAACACGCGATCTCTCAATGATTGAAGAGTTGATCCGTCAAAAGGCAGTGCACCACATACTAACACATACAACACAACACCCAGACTCTACAAGAATGAGAATATTTATTTCGAATATGTAATCAATGTAAATCTGTGTTTTTTTTCTTTTGCCACAATTTCTTTCTCTTACGAAACTCACCCATACGTCAATTTCAGGTCCGGCATAGTGCTTTCCTCGGAAAACTTCGGGAGCAGCGTAAGGTGGGCTACCGCACCATGTGCTCAATCGCTCTCCCGGGGCGAATCTGTTACTGAAGCCAAAATCGGCGATCTTTACGTTCATCTGAGCGTCGAGAAGTAAGTTCTCTGCCTTCAGGTCACGATGCGCTACACCCGTTACGTGGCAGTATTCGACCGCGGAGAGTATCTGGGCAAATGTCGCACGTGCTCTGGGCTCTCCCATTCTTCCGTACCGCGCTATGTAGTCGAATATCTCGCCTTTGCTCGCGTATTCGCACACCTGTAACAACGACGCGTGATATCCTCATCGTTCAAAAAACACAACAGTTGCAGTCGCAGCTTCATCATCCTCACCATGTAAATCATGTTCTTTGTTTCCATGACTTGATATAATTTAACGATATGCGGATGCTCCAGCTGCTTCATAATTTCAACCTCTCTATAAACTTTTTCTAGATTAGTAGGATCTAATTGAGTTTTATCGATTATCTTGATAGCCACCTATTAAAAAGAATCACATCTCTTTAGACAATATATCATCAAATTACTGTTTATAGTAGAAAACGCATGTACACGTACCTCGGTTTTCGTGATTCGATGTCTAGCCAATTTTACAACGGCAAAGTTGCCTTTGCCGATAGTTCCTTCGATATCGTAAAATCCCACGCGGATTTGCTTTTTACCCTGTGTAGGTCCAGTATCCATATTCACGTCGATTTCTCTTTCAACTCTTGTAAGTTCTAATTAAACTAATTCTTCTTCTCCCAATGCTCTATCACTAATCTGCAAAAATCAGAATACACAGTCTTAAAAGAGGAATATTTTTTTGGGGAACTTATGTTATTTCTCTGACTCTGATATTTAATATGTTTTCAACAAGTGCAATTTTTTCTTTAATTATTTTAATCGTTAAGATAAAATTATGAAGATAAATAAAATAAACAGCTAACAGTAACAGTAGAGAGAGAGAGAGAGAGAAAGTTACAATATTTTTTAAACAGAAGTATGTGTGGAATGATAGAAGTGGTCTTGAACTAAATGTCATTTTTTCAAGATATGATATGAAAATAATAATATTTTTCCAATTTTCGATAACACTTTTTTTTATTATCGTTTGAAATGTTAATTTTTGTACATAGCCCCTCATGAGACCCTCTTTTCCTGCTCTACTCTTGTCTACTATATGAAGCTTTTTTTTTAACATATCGTGCCTATGCAAGCGATTACGCCACGCGCAAGCGCTAATAAAGATTCATAAAGTCCCATTTCGAAAAGTCTGACGAACACGATTTTGAAGTCCATAATGATTGCCTTTGTTATCGCGCGTAAAATTTTTTTTATGTGCGTATAAATATTTTTTTGTTTTTTTACCTTGTACCGTATGAGTTGTAAGGTATCTCAAGCGATATCGGCGCGAACGTCTAACATACGATAATTACTTATCACACATTCGTCACAATGACGTGAGTTTGCGTGGCTGATCCAGCATTGAAGGCGGCGCGCGATATCCCGGAAGGATATCGCACCCAGACACAACAGAAGAACAAACAAGAGAGAGAGAGAGAGAGAGAGAGAAAGAGAGAAAGAGGTATAAGGGAGGGAGAGAAAGTGAGAGAGCGACGGACGTTTTCAAGGAGAACACGCGTCAAGGATTCATCGTCGACGGAGTACAAAGGCCCGGCCCGCAACAAGTACAGTAGAAATCCTCGACTGACGTCACAGATCGACAACGACCTCCTACCTATCGAGTCACCGTCAGATCGATCGTCGTCGATACTCCTGGATAGAGAAGAAGAACCCCGCGTCGGACGAGGTCGCCGACAAGCGGGTATACAATCGGACGATCTCACTGATCGTGAGACACGGACGAACCTAATAGCGGTGCGAGAAGCTGACATGAGAGAGGGTGGTGACTCCTCTTCACCCCTTTTCGATTACTTACCCTTCCTGGCTCGAGAATTACCGATCGTCCGCGGGAACGGTGGTCGCCCGGTGAACGCGCTTTACGAAACAATCGGCGACGACGGCGACGAGGTGGACGCGCTCCGGGGATGCGCGGGGAGCCATCGGTGAGCGCCGGACGTCATAACGCGCGCGCGCGCGCGCATCTGTCAAATATCCGGCGGGTCCGTCCACTAGCTCGAAGCTCGAGAACCGAACGGAGCGGATCGGAGCCGTGCTTACGCGAGAGCGAGACTCAACGTAGGGAGCTCCGCACGGCACGGCGGTTCGATACCGACTGACCGACGGCCATGTTACCACCCCCCCGGTGCCGTGCCGCTTCGACGGTGTCGGCGCCCTCGCCGCCCCCTCGTACACCGTCACCCCGGCCATTCTTAGCGAGAACCACCCCTCTCTTCGCTTCCTCTTTCTCTCTCTCTCTCTCTCTCTATGGTTCCCCTTCCTTCCCCCCTCCCTCCCCCATACTCTGCTCGTCTCCCGCTCTTTCCCGCCTCACCCTCTGCCACCACGTAATCTACGTCGGTGCACCCGACACCCACCACTACCGCGATTACTATCGCTCGCGCCCGCGCGCCGTTATCTTCGACAATTGACGTCACGCACGTACGTGCCCGCGCGCGCGCGGGCATGCTCGTCTCATCGTTAATTGTTTCTCGATGTAATTGTACGGCAAGTATAGCGGCAGCACGTGACCGACCAGTCATTGGGTATGTATGGGTGGGTAGTCCCGGATTTGCGCTCGAAAATGACGTTTCGATTTAAAAAGAATTGTCGAGAGTATAAAATGTCATGGTCCTATATAAGGTCTTCTGAAGTGGTTTACGTAAACTGGCGTAAAGAGTAGATTGTATAATATATACATTTACGGCTTTTCTTATGCATAGTCAGCGAATTAATATTGATTTTTTTTTTTTTTTTTTTTTTTTTTTACGGCACCGCGTATTTTATCTCTCGGAACCGAAATAAACGGATTATGCTTGTGTGAATTATAATCATTAGGATGACGTTCGCGAATTTCTGGATCGTTTACGGTGAAAAATGCATCGCCGAGCGAAAAGACAGACACACTTTCTCGAACGACTAATGAGACGCGATATGTATTCCCGCATACTATTGCTAATCTCGGCTCTTAGTCTCGTCGTTCTGCTCCCGCGAGTGAGCGCGATTTCTCTCGTCTTGTTTATCTCGTCTTTGAAAGAGTTCTCGGACATGATCGATGATTATTGTTCCTATTCTCAGCAATATTGATAATAGAAACTTTTATGTGTGTATAGTGTAGTATAAATTTCACACAGAACTGTCATTGAAATTTAAAAAAGTTCTAAAAGATACTATTATGTATAATCCAATGTTATTATAATTGGCAGACAGACATTATGTGCATATAAACACGATTTGTCAGTTTTCTAAAATAAATGCAAATCTTACCAATTCACGATCATACTCTTTAGCGTAAGAAAGATTATTATTTGCGAATTGATAAAGAAGAAATATTATTGAAATTATATAATTGGATTTTTTGTATTATTTTATGCATAATATTTCATGAATATAAATGCAATGTATCAATTTCTTGTTGAATTATATTTAGATCTGATTATAAATCACGGTCGTATCTTTTATTTATTTAGTTAGCGAAAAATTTTAATCAAGAAACGATATCATAATAAATAATATTAAAATTTAATATTATTAATAAATATCATATTCAATAACAAATATTTCCAAAAAAAAATATCTATAAAATTTCAAGTAATTAGACATATTTTCTATGAAACTTTATGTGTATTTTAAATAATTTTAGATCTATGTAAATCTCGGAATAAATAATTTTGCTCGACTTCAGTGTTTAACAATGCCAGATAAAGATCCCAATTTTTTTTCGCGACGTTTGCGGCGCGTTTTCGTGATTTTAAGGGAGTATGTTTCGGCATCTATCTTGTCGAATTTGCAGGTGTTCTCTGTTACGAGTCGAATATAATGCGATCGTGCGGAAGAGCCGTTCCGCCGTTTTAACAGCGGATCGCTTAAATTATAGCGAGTGCGGAGGCGGAACGCGAAGCGGCAATCCCGACTGTCTACAAAGCCGGGCAAGATTGCGCACGTGTGTGTACATTGTGTCTGGTTTAAGTATCACTGCGCAATTATTTCTTCGATTGTTAGAAATGTAAGATAATATGTGTGTTTAGGTAAAACTTACGTTAAACTACATATAATGAGTTCTCGATATATCTACATCAAATGTACTAGGCTATGATGTCAGAAGCAAGATTATTGGCGAAGAAATATATGCAAATAATTCTTGCAATTTACGTTTATTTCTGTCATCACGGCGGTCACTTTGAACGAAGTAAATTCTGGTATTAAATTGATGTCCTTAGCAATTAATGAAATAATTGCGGTTATAAAACGTACGTGGACTGTAGATTGTTTGTAAGTCCCTTTCTACCGATCAGTCAGTTCGATGGAACGGTTCAAAGAAGATTGGAGATAATTGATGACGGTCGCGTGTCTGGCCATGGGTTCAATCGATTCTTCCAGTTTTTCTCTTTTTTTTAGAAAATTGACGTCAGACGCACGTTTTCGTCAGGAACGCTTCTAATGCGTCGTCGGTGCTGTAAATTGCTTCGTCCTCTGTATTTTTACGTTTGCGTAAACGAGAATCGCAGCCACGTTTTTTTTTTTTTTTTTACGAACACGCAATAAAGCTCTATTTCGAGATGACATTTCTCCCAGGTGAGTTTCGTAAAGGTCGGTCACTTGAGAAGTTCCCCTAATTGAATTTTATCGCGCCCCAATTTGCCTTTCGATATTTTGCGAAACAAAACTATTGTATATTTCGAGATATATCTCTCGAAGTTTCGAAGAGATTTTCTATTTACTTGCAAATGTTTCGCATAATTTTCGAGAATTCACGTAGAATGTTGACTCTGCTTTTTCAGGAGGCAACCATAAGCCACGCTTTCCATACATTTTCTAAAGTTCTTTCTTTTCGCGCTCGTGAAGTTTCTATAAAATATAATATATAATTTCGACGTGCGAGAGAGTTTTATTTTTTAAAAAATAAAAAAGAAAGTACGTAATCTTCTACGATATATAAGTTATTTCAAATTCTCTTTTATAGGTAGGCACTCGCTTAACACAAGTATAATATAATAATAATTTTTTTTTAAATTGATAATATGGCACTAATTATATAATTAAGTTTTCAAATGCATTAAATACAGTATACTGTATTTCTTTATTATTCTAATATCTTTTCTCACAATACAAAACATTATTCTGATATAATATAATTTATTCGTAAAATTTTGCTCTCTCTTTCTCTTTCATTTAAAATACATCTTTATATCGCAATGTCAAGAAACATTTAGTAATCTCGATATTGCGAGATGTTCAAGAAGCAGTTATTTTAAAAGAAACATGAATTAGGAAAATTAATAATTTTCTTCCCATATAGAAATGAAAACATAGTTAAATACGAAAATTATGAAATATTGAATATCTACTGTATTTTACTCTCAACAATTTTTATGACATGAAAAATAATAATAAACAAGAATTGTTCTCATTTTTAAAAAAACTGTCTCAAAAATTTTTTATATGCGATATATATCCCATTTATTCAAATCTCAAAGAATATTCAAGGAGAGCATATAAAGAGAATATTAATCACGTGCCTTATTATGCGTGAAAATTCATCCTTCATGTACTCAACTGACGCATACGCTCTTTCTTGTCGTAGGTCGCATTCAAGACGGTCCTTCCCATCGCGACAACGAAATTTTCATGGTCGGATGAATCGATAGTACGAGCCAAGGTAAGGGGCCAGGAGAAGGAGAGAGCGACTTCCTTGTCGGTTGACTATCGTTATGAAAAAATAACATTTCCAATGAGTAAGTCAGATTGTCGTGATAAGAAAATGACATTTCCAATGAGTAAGTCAGACGATAGCAATGAGATAATGCTTGGCGACATATCCGAAAACTCGAATTTCGCAATCTCTCTTTTTCTCTCCTTCTTTCTCTTTGACAAATCCTTCGCCACCCACCTCGACTCTTGTCGTAGGTCGCTCTCGGCTTGATTTTGCGCTCGCACGCGAGCAACTTTGAGTACGTCGGTAAATCAATAAGACGCTGAAGTCGTGGGAGAATCCGTCGATTTTTGATGCCCCGCAAAGTTTCAGCGAAAGTAGCGCAAAACAGACGACCAGATACAGAGATATGTCCTACTTTTATACCTATTTCGTCCGAAACTTCTGTTACGGATATATGGCACCGAGTGTTTTAAGAAAATTGATGTGGAAAAATGGTACATGCGATATATAATCAATTCCTCATGAAAAATATGCTATTACGATGTTATATAATTTAAATTGTTGTTGAGCATAGAGTGTACATGTAATTTCAATTATCGTGTCGAAATATTAAACAACAGTGAATTAAACTTTTTCAAACAACTTATACAATGAATAACTATAGGGACAAATCATAATTCTTTATGGAAAATAAAAAATTAATCGGATCAATTTTATGTAAGCATATATATATATATATCCAGTATTTCAATTATATTCAAAATTTTAATTATAATTATACATTTTTGTACTAATAATAATAAAGTCAAAAAAATACCCGGAAGCTGTCACAAATTTCAAAAAAGTTTAGTCGAAATCAGGAGAAATCAGAGAAACGAGCAACCGATTATAGAGAAGGACACCCAATATGAAATTTCAATTTATTCTATAGAATCTCTTGGTCTAACGCTGAGTTTGTTGCCTGCTTGCTCGATTCAATTACTTTCGCTCCAAGTAATTCAGGAAAAGAAGCTCCGCATGTGTTCAAGAGCGCGTGCTCATCGTCCATGCAACAGTTCCGCCTTTCATCATTGCATTATGCAATTGAGAATCGCGGTCGTTATCTGTCCTTTTTCACCGCGTCATCCAATAATGAGCTTGTCTGACAAACCGCTTCCGAAAACTCGAATTTCGCAATCTCTCTTTTTCTCTCCTTCTTTCTCTTTGACAAATCCTTCGCCACCCACCTCGACTCTTGTCGTAGGTCGCTCTCGGCTTGATTTTGCGCTCGCACGCGAGCAACTTTGAGTACGTCGGTAAATCAATAAGACGCTGAAGTCGTGGGAGAATCCGTCGATTTTTGATGCCCCGCAAAGTTTCAGCGAAAGTAGCGCAAAACAGACGACCAGATACAGAGATATGTCCTACTTTTATACCTATTTCGTCCGAAACTTCTGTTACGGATATATGGCACCGAGTGTTTTAAGAAAATTGATGTGGAAAAATGGTACATGCGATATATAATCAATTCCTTATGAAAAATATGCTATTACGATGTTATATAATTTAAATTGTTG